TGAGTGAAAGGAACCTGCATTTCTCAAAGGGTGGGGCGTCTAACCAATACGACCCTTAGTCTGTCGTATTGTTTTCTGTAATATTAGCTATAGAGCATCTGTCTGTAACATTTAACATATGGTTGTTCTGTTTAGTATCAGAGCAGCGTATATATGGCGACTTTTTGACTTCACGGATACTTGTTAGTTGGTTTCGATGCACTATAATTTTGTGAGCAGACTATAGGATATACGGAAGTCCGAACGTAACAAAACTTTTAAAAAAGGGGTTGAAGACGAACCTTAAGTCCTTGGAGTATTGTGCAATGTATTTACGTGTATTGCTGCAGGATTGTGTTGCAAGTGGCTTGCTATGTCCAAAGTGCGGATCAGAAGGGCCGTATGATACGACGTACGGTAGCTAGGTATCTCAATTTAGCTCAGACGTTAGTCTTACGCGACATCAGCTCAGCGGTTAAGAAGCGTTTTCCAACTATGGATATGGTGATCCAAAGCGGTAGGTTTTTTGTTCCAACCCTCTTTTCTCGCTTCTTATTGAAGGAATTGTGTACGCAGGTTTTATGAATGAGGAAGAGCACAGGCAGTATGAGGAGGTGCAGTGCTTACATCACAAATTCTGGATACCGATCCAGTGGTGTTGCACACTGTTACACAAGGCCAGAAAGGAATCACTCATTGAAAACGACTTGCTGCTCAATCAGCTCATTGATGTAAGGCGTCCGTCTACTGATCGATTCCAACCGTATCTTCATCTCTTAGGACATTATGAATTATCGTCAAAATCTAATGATGCTGCTCAATTACGACTGGATAAGTGTGCCACTAGTTTACACGCAGGTAATTTTTGAATAAAGTGCTTCGCGTCTGAAAGATAATAGCATTCCATAGCAGGGAAGCTTTTCAGCAATTATGCGACCGAAAAGCTGAATAATATTCAAACTTTTAAAGGCTTTTGACATTCTGTGTAAATGGTACCTGCGAATCTTTTAAGGAAAAGACGTTTCAATTCGTTTCTTAATCAAAAGTTCGACTAGTTGTTCGATAACATTTTGCCTTATTGGGAAACAATTTTTTTGCAGGTCGTCACAATAGCCGTATATGGTTTTTTCGCTGCGTCGCTGATGGCTCGACAGTACTTAGACCCTGACAAACATTATCCGGGTCACATTGTCGACTTGTACGTGCCCATATTTACTATTCTGCAGTTTGTCTTCTACATGGGTTGGCTAAAAGTTGCCGAATCGTTGATTAATCCGCTCGGCGAAGATGACGACGATTTTGAAATAAACTACATTGTGGAAAGGAATCTGCAAGCGGGATACTTAATATGCGACGAAAACTACGGTCGCATACCGCCTTTGGAGAGGGATATTCACTGGAATGACGTGCAAGCCGAGATACCGCATACAGCCGCTTCGCTTGGGCTGAAGGACAATCCGCAAATTGGTTCCGCAAGTACAATCGAGTAAGCTTGAAGCGATTCCTTCTTTTTGCGCCGCGGGCTGCAGATATTCCTTTTTTTTACATGCAAATCTACGATGCATCCATTGTAGATGTTTCCCAACGTAACTGATTTGAAATTTCTTTGCTCGTGTTCTCCCTCTGCATCTTTACAGTAGGAATTGAATGATTTTCAAGTACGCTTATAAAGCTTTGAGGCTTATTCTTCAATCTTCTGTAGCGTTGGTTTTTTTGGTTTATTGGTTTGCCTGCAGGAGTCGTTTATGTTTCAATTCTACTTCCCGTTGCAGAGTTAAACCGGAAAAGGCTGAACTGGTGCCGTCGGATACCGAAGAGGCGAAACAGGAGGAAGGCTTAAGTCGTTTCCGCAAGGTTAGCCGAGCCATTATGGAAGGAGCGCGACGTCAATTCCTACGAAACAACAGCCAAGAGTTTAGCGAGCGAAGCCCTTCAATAACAGGTAGCGGTCCAACAGTTTCGCGTACGCCGTCTAGCGCTGCTTGTTTAGGACGGCGTAAGATTTCGCGACCACTTTCCCACAGCCGGCCGCCATTGGATTTTCAATTTTCTCGTTCGAACTCTCAACGGTCGAGTCGAAGATCCGTTGGCAAGAAGCCGTCCATTGCGGATGGCCCAACTCGGGAATCTCCCGACTATAATCATTTGTCTCCTCCAGCCGGTAATGTCCCCTATTGTTGCCTATGTTTATGTCAGCTTTCTCAAGCCTTATGCGGTATGATTTTTAGAGGAGTGGCCAAAAACTTCTCCAAGGGACAGTTGCAGAAGCACGCCGTCTCCTATTCGCCTGGAAACAATAAGCGAGGGTAACAGTCGCGTTGAAGAAGACGCGTCTGTTGGTGGAGAGTCTCCGTCCCCACCTCCAAGAGGCACATCAGCCAGTGACCGCGAAGCCCAGAGGCATACTAGCAATGTCGATGCGGTCGCGCAATCGCCGCGTCGTCCCAGTTCGTCTTCTCGCGATCCCACCGGACAAGACAATCCAATCTTTGTAGTGGAGGATCAAGACGACGTGTTTCTTCCTAGCCAGGCGGTTAGCAAAGATGTGCGCAAGGAAGATCCCTCCAGTTTACTGTAGCTCATCTAGTCCAAGCAGGAAGTTGGCCTTTTGGTGCTTCACCTTCTTGTTGCTGTACGATTGTTAATTTTTCGCTCGTCTTTGCCGCTTCTGTTTTACCATTAGCTAGGCGTGTTTGCGTGCCAATAAAGGCATGTGACTTGGCCATCTTTTTTGAAACATCACTCGTTGGGATGTCCCGCGTAGAATACCTTTAAGCTCTTGATCTTTCTGGTAACAATGTTGTCTTTATTCTTAGTGCCGTTATGGAATAGTATTCAACATGAAGCTTTTGAAAAAAGATTTCGACAAGGATGGAGCTGGGTAAGCGCTTAGACGTTTTCGATGCTCTTCTAGCTATGCGCCACTTTAAGCTACGTTACCCTATTGCCTGAGGAGACGGAGGACATGTGGCACGCCTATAACTTAATCCAAGAAAAGGACAATCTGAGAGCTTCTGCAGTGAGGTATGACTTTGAACTTTTGTCTCGTTTATGGTGTAGGCTTCTGCTTTTGCTTCATTGAAGAAAAGTAACCAATGAGTCAGCCACGGGTAGCACCTCGAGCTATCGTGTACGAACGTCGTTAACAGTGACTGTGGAAAGAGTTGACTTTGACAGTCAAACCGGTGCTTTGCATATTAAAGGTAGGAATATAGAAGAAAACCAGTACGTAAAGGTATGTTGGTCGAATTGGTCGTCTCTGGGATGCGCATATAAGGTGTTGATATTCCAGTTGGGCGCCTATCACACGCTAGACTTGGAATTGAACCGCAAATTCACGATATATAAAAGTTGCTGGGACGTAGTGCACATAGAGAGAATTGAGGAAGCGTGCAACATTGCTCAGCATGCCGATTTGGCAGCGGTCGTTATGCAGGACGGTTTGGCTCACGTTTGCTTAATAACGCCAAGCATGACTATAGTTCGCGCCAAAATTGACCTCTGCATACCCAGGAAACGTCGTTTCGATACTGGTCAACACGACAAAGGAGTGACCAAGTTCTACGATTCTGTTATGCAGGCGATTGTGCGTCATTTTGACTTCAATGTTATCAAATGCGTACTTGTCGCCAGTCCCGGCTTTGTTCGCGAACAGTTTTGCAAGTACATGTTCGAAAGAGCTGCAGCCGAAGGTAACAAAGCTTTGTTGGACAATAAGGATAAGGTAGAGTCAATATCCAGTCGACATTGATCCATTGAAGCCGTGGTTGTTTTGTAGTTTTTGCTGGTCCACTCGACGTCCGGCTTTAAGCATGCGTTGAAAGAAGTGCTGGCTGATCCTCAAGTTTCAAATAGGCTGATGGATACTAAGGCGACGGGAGAAATCAAAGCGTTGGAAACTTTTTTCAACCTGCTCGTCAATGAACCTCAACGCGCCTTTTATGGAATTAAGCACGTTGAATTGGCTGCCGAAGCGGAAGCTATTGAAACATTGTTAATTACTGACACCCTATTTCGGTCGACCGACTTTGCCAAACGTCGGCGATACGTCGATTTGGTGGAGAGCGCTAAGGAGCAGAATGCTGACGTAAAGATCTTTTCTAGTCTGCACGGCAGCGGCGAGCAACTTGCTCAACTTGGAGGAGTTGCCGCAATCTTACGCTTTCCCATGGCAGAGATAGAGGACGAGGATCAGTTGGACAGCGACGAAGCGCCAGAAGACTAAACCCAACTCAATCTGGACTTAGGAAAGCAATAGGCCAATTCAGTTTTCTCTGTGCGCTTCTGTACCACTTTGCTTTGCCTTCGTTTCTGCCCGGTGTACGGTAAATTCTTTGTGTATGCAGGTAAACTTTCAAACAGCGTCTATTACTGCGTCAAGCATTACATGTTCAGCTTTTAGTCTTCGGCTTGCTACCTGCATTTTGTTAATCAAACTATGCTCAGCTGCGTGCAGCTCCGATTACGTTATTCTTTAAGTAAACGGCGCTTTGCGTGGATGTCTTTTTTCAAATGCGTTAAGGTGTAACCATACCCGCATGGTAACACGTTTCAAAGTTTCCGTTCAAAACAGTGAAGATTTATGCATCCCTTACCAGGCTGTGGGTCTTTAACATATTTTTAAGCATCCATTAGAATTCATGCAATGCGGCTTTAGGCTTTGGCAACTTGACTTGACAGCTATGCTTTTGAGCGAATTTAATCGTTGAGGGGCGCGGAGAGACGTTGCGTTCAGAGGGAAATTTTATTCCCCTAAATCTTGGGGAAATGTACCAATTTGGACTTGTCTGTTTGCCAATCAAAATGAATCTATATTTATTTCAGAGGGGCTAACATTGCTACTAAGCTAATGCGGAATTTAATTTCAAAGTGGAATATCGTATTCTACTCAAAAACAGGGATAAGGGAGAGTGTACCTGCAATTTTAGCTGCATTACAGTAAGACTTACAGTCTCAAGAAACGAATGCAGGTAAACATGTCAAAAGTCAGAAACAAAAGTGAGAATCGCGTACGCAAAGATCAACCCTTTCGGGTTTCCAAAAATTTCTACTCTGTTCTCATAAATGTTCCTGTGCACGGAAATCTTTAGTAAAAGGCGAAAGATTTATGCGGCATGCACAGGAACCAGAGATAAACTAGCTGTTTTTGCTCAGGTAAGTAATGACGCGTGGCAACTTATAGTCAACAGGTTTAGTATTAATCAATAAATTTTAACTCTATCCATATTTGAGTGAATCCAATGAGATCGTGCAGAATCCTTTTCTGTACAGCGTATTTTAACTTCAAAAGTTAGTTCACTGCTTTATTGATGGTTTTCGTGGCACTCGAGTTGTGTTTGCTGTACTTCTGCGACCTATGCTCCAAAATGTCATATCGAACTGCATTTGCAGTTGCCTATTTGTAGAAATTGTAGAGCAAAATTTCCAAGCCTCAAAAGGCTTTGCTTTGTGCTTTATGTGCCTCTCTAAGCATTGTATGTCGATATTTCCACAAGCAGAATATTCAATGTCGCCGCACACTCTTTTACTGATTTATACTGATCAATTGTTATAGGCTAAAGCGTATTACAGTTTGGTGACCCTGGCGTGACCCTGTAATTGCCAGTAATGCTCGGAACAAAATGGATTATTGTTGACCAGGAAATATCCAACGTCTGCCAATGGCCTTCGGCAGGTTGCACAAACGAAACAATTGAAATGCCATCTTGAATTCATTGCCACCACAACGCGGTCGTTCAGGTCTTGTTTACATCCTAAGGATACGAGGAAGACATATACAATTTTATCTTCAGCTATATTTATCGCATTGAAGTTTGCAAGGGTTCTAATTCATACTGTCTTAAGCTTACCTGCGCATACATCCTTCGCCTGCTTCTTCATGCATTCCATGCACATTACTACGTCCTTTGTTTTTGTGTACTCTTCGCCGCCTCGCAACCATTGATCGCAAGTCGCGCATTTGAAGCACGTAGGATGCAATACGTCCCCGTATGCGAACACGGCGACTGCGTTCGTAATTTCTGTTTGGCAAACACCGCATTTTTGGAATTTTAATTCCTTTTTAATTGGCATATCGACTGCCACAACCCTTTTAAGCTGCCGAAGTGTTCGCAATACCGCGCGACTAACTATCCCGCTAAAGATCAGTGTCGGAAGGGGTTTAAACCCCGCTTTGCCAGACTTTAAAACTCTTTTTTATACATAGGCTGAGAATTGTTTTTGCATAAAAATTCTGATTAAGCTTGTGGACCAAGAAGTCATCGACAGGCTCCTATACAAACTGTCGTCAATTTTCAAGTATACTGTACAATTTATTTGACGCGCAGGTATTTAAATTATAAAGCCAAAAACTACGTAAAAAGTGATTCATTTATGTCAAAATTGTCCACGACACATCAAAAGATGTATGTATAATAAATTTTAGCAAGCTTAGAAGGCAGGTTGGTACAGCTAGTGCTATATTTGCAACAAATGGTTGCGGGGAAAACGCGTTTTGTTTGGAATTAATGTTGGTCTTAAAGGTTTTGCCTCACTAACTACCAGCCTACACACTAATTGAGAAGTGTACATCATCATTTCCCCCGCTGGCTGCTCGGGAACCACGCCATATAACGAGCTGATGGCCCATCGATAGTATCACTCCCTCCTCCGCTTCCGCACGCAGAACATGGGAAGCGAGTGATCTCAAGAGCTCCGCGTTCGATGTTTCGTTCGTTTTCTTGCTTTCCGAAAAGTAAATGAGATCCTGCCAAACCGACAAGAAAAAAGTTGTATTCCCATTAAAACAAATTCCAGTACTTAGCAGTATGTAATATAAAGAGAAACAGTGCGCTTTAGGATCTCCTTTCCGTCGCCTTAAGACCATAGGAATCGGTAACCGTCGAGAATTCCTTGTTTACCACTGGAACAAGGA